AGGGGGGTTGGACTGGATGATCTCCTGAGGTCCCTTCCAACCCCACCATGCTGTGATTCTGTGAATAGGTATACATTCAAGTATCTCATAGTGGATCAACCAATAATCCTGTCCCTACTCCAATATGTAACATACAGCCAAACCACTTAAGTTCTTTCTTTTCAATATGAATTTTTTTTTCCTTCCTTTAAATGTTTTAAGCAATAATTTCTTATTGCTGTTACTGAGAAGTTATTTTTTTCTACCAGATGCTAAAAGTACTCTTATCGTTCCTGTTACTAGAAATTCCCAGAATGCGAAGCTTCAAAAAGATCCAACTGGTGGCTTGGATTGCGTTTGTAATGGTAATGCAAGAGGAAAATTATTAACAGTAATGAAAAACCATTTGCTCTATCATATGACAATCACCCAGATTTCAAATTAAAATATTTTGCAAGAGGTTTTTGATCAACGAACAAAACAGGAACTGCAGTAACAAACAGCAACCAAAACAGGCAAATTTTTATTATGTACAGTGCAATAAATTCCCCAATAAGCTACACACACAGGGAAACAACTCTTCATGATGCTATACACTTGCTACCGCATTAGACTATGTACTTCTGCTTCAATTTTACCCATCATACAGACTCCTTTGCTTCCCAAGCAGTCCCAGCCACAAGCACTACATACATACTTACCTACCATAAAGAGAATTGCCAGGGAATCCTGAGGTCAGTGATATTCCAGTGGAAAAGGCTGACCTTTTTTCCACCGTGGTAAAAAAACCCAAGCACTACATTATGCTCCAAGAATCCAAAACTTAAAAATTAATGTTATTGCCTTGTCTTAATTAGTCATGTATCTGAATAAGCCCAATTTTCTCCATGTCACAGCCACAAGACAAAGTGAATGACAGCATATCATACACCCAGCTGACTATCAGTTTGTCCAAGAATTGTGCAATGTTTTTCCTGAGGTACAATTACCGTGTTGTCCCTGTTCACTTAAGATTAGACAAAACATCGAAATCTGTTTTACCAGCATGGTATGATCAAATTTAAAAGGTCCACACCTAACATTCTTCTGATACTAGTGATAGCATAGACTATAAGGCAGATTTTTAAATATACCAGTTGTCAAACAACTATCCACAGAAAGTGGACTGAAAAAGTATACAGTTAATATACTAAATCTTAATGATCACTAAACTGCAATTCTGCAGTTCTGATCTGCAATGCAATCACTGATAGCTAATGGAGGTTTTACATTTCTCTAAACATCAAACAATAAGTTTGCCAGCAGTTTGGATCACCTACACAGCTTCATTGAGGTTTCCACTTCAATGCACTGTTCCCCCAGATTCTTCTCTAGAGAGGAAATACTGTCTGTCTTTTGTTTCCCAGCTTCTATTTCCTGTCCTTGTTCTGGGACTATTGCAGCCACAAGTTCTGTGGAATTTCCAAATAAAGACACAGCTACCAAGATGCTTTCAAAAAAAAGTGTGTGGGCAGAGTACTTCTTTGCAACTTCAATTATTCTGCAATTCTGAGTCATTTTGTCAGAGTGAGATTGGGCCCAGAAGACTAGGCCAACTCTAGAGAAAAGCAAGCTGTCATCATACAGTTACATTTGATGTAACTGTATTTGATGTAAATGTTTCCCAACATTT